TAAATTAGATTTTTTTGCCTCAGACTAACTGACTGGAATATCTCTGAGATCAAAGTTAACCTTAACAACAACCCTAATGAATGAGTAGGTGAATACGGATGAGAGTAATGATTTAATATTTCATCAAATATGCATGGATTGCAACTTGTTAATAATATTGTATACAACCGAAAATGCTTGTAGGCTAAATAGGAACTATGGCTCACTTGCAAGTGTAATAACCTTCATCGTCAGGCTCAGTTGGGTTGACAATACTAAACACGTCTCCATGGCCCTCCAGAGAACTGATAATGTACTTGTATTCTCCGGCTGCCTCAAACGACCCCGAGGGATCTATCAATCTACCGGGCGGTGGGCCGCGGTACCAGCGGACAACAACCGATGGAGCAGAAAGAGCGGCTGACGTCTGCGACCAGAGCCATAGACGATTGCCCATGGGCGAGTTGGCAGAATTTGCAGTTTGGTTGTTGTAAAGCCTGCCCGAGTGGCTGCAGTTCAGATGCGCGGTCAGCCCAGGTCGTGCACGACTCTCAATCACTGGACTGCGATCATGCACATCAAACGCGTCTGAGATAGTAAAAGTGGGAAAATCTGTAGAAGGGAACGTCTCGTGTGTAAGGAATGTGATAATAGTGTCTACACTATATCCACTCCAGAAGACAGCCTAATGCTGGGCATGTTAACGCTATTTCGGTTTTAAAGGGAAACTATTTTTCGCATTTGAGTAGAGTTTAGAGACTACCAGTAAATCAGTAGTATGAGATGTATTTACCCTATTTCGTTTAAGGTGATGAAATATTAGTATTATTATTTATTTACGGGTAGTCTCGAAACTCTACTCAAATACGAAAAATAAGTAACGTAGTCGATTGTTATAGCGAAAATTCGTTTGCTTCATCGACAATCCCACCAAGAAATGTGATATGGGAAAAGGCCTGGCCTTCCTCGAAATTCACATCTGCCCTGTGATCCAAGGGCACTCGTGGCAATATGGCTCCCACTCTGCACTGTCACAGTTCGACTCCCGCTGGGTTGTTGATAAGACCGATGCGAGGTAGAAACTACATTCCACTCCAGCCGGGATGAGAACAACTTTTGGGAAAGCAAGGCATTGTGAAATTTAATGGAAACGTCAGCTATACTCATATCATTGTTGGAATATTCTACTACCAGTCCTTCATCACCTTAGACGAAATATGGTGAAGACATCTCATAAAGTGAAACTAACCAGTTTTAAAGAACATTTGCCCAGTTCTCCACCTCTTTTCCCCTAATTGACTGTAAACTGAGTCAGCAATTCACTTCATTAGGATTTCATCTGATTCATGCCATATGAAAGACTCATCTCACAATGATATTGAGGCAATTTTAGTTTCATA